AGACCCTCTCCTCTTCCCAGTCGCGTTTCATGCCGTACTATTGACTCTGCTCTCATGAAAAAGAACGACAGGTATGCACGTACCTCCCTCCTCGTGTTATACGCGTTGTCATGGTACGGAGGAGTTGTTGCTGTGAGAGGTAATTCGCTAACTTCCACCTCGCCCCCATCCCCCTTTTGTCATATAATTCTATTCGTCTAATCTATTCTTACTATATTATAATAGAGTACTGTAAATAAAAGATACACTCTCAATCCCCTTGACCCTCCCTTTGGTTGCAGGTTGTTTAGCGTTTAATTTTTATTGGTTTCTGAAGGCACAGCATGTTGGGATACGCCTAGTTCTTTTCCCTCCCCCCGGGTCAGCGTGGGGTTAGTCTGTTGTCCGCATGGTATTGAATTCCTCCAGTCCCTTGTTTGTTGTTCGAGTAATACTTCTTCCCTACTTTATATTGTCCTTGTATTTTTTTCCGCATATCTAATACCAACGCTTCTTCTTGTCTCTGCTAGATTTTTTGGGGCTTTGCCCCCCCTTTTATTCCACCACCATTGGTTTTAGGTCAAGGAGGGGGGGTGCGGGGGGGGGATGGGTGAAGGGGGACAGGGTGAAAGTCGAGGTTTGGTAGGGGAGAGCCCGACTCACCGCTTGTCCTCCAGGCCTGTGCAGAAGTGGATGAAGAAGGTTTCACTGTCCGGCCTGATGTGACCCAGAACAATATCCTCGTGGCGCCCTCTGGGGGCGGTTGTTAGCATAGCAATGAGAAAGCTCTGCCCGAAGTGATTTCGCTGCCATTAGCAACCTTCTCTGCGTACACCCTGTGGGGAGCCTCTAGTGAGGACCAAGCAAAGACCCCTGCCCTGTGGGGTCAGGGATGGTCAAGAGGGAGAGAGGAGGGGCTGGGTCACAAGAGAGGGGGATCCAAGAGGGCTTCCTGAAAGCGGGGGTACCCGTGTTGGGGCTTAACAGTTGAATGGGCTAGGCGTTCACTACTTAGGGCAGGACATACTTGTGCAAGGGCTTGGATCGGGGTAAGGGGGGGAGGTAAAACGGTGTCAGGGCCAAGGTGGCAGGTGAGAGAGCATGCTGCAGGGCCTCAAGGGCTTGAACGGGAAGGGATATGGTCAGTTTGAGGGCTGCCTGGAGGGAGGCCCTGCGTCCGGCATCTGCTTGGGCCCTTGACCGAGGCGCACGCACCAGCTGAGCACTCCCGCTTCTCATCCCAGCGACTCAGACTTTGACGACGAAAGAGCCCCCGCAAGTTCTACGTGCACATCAAGCCCGCCCCGGCCCGGGCCCCGGCCTGCAGCCCCGAAGCGGCTGCCGCACAGCTCAGGGCCACGGCCGGCAGCCTCATCCTCCCTCCAGGCCCGGGGGTGAGGCTGGGAGAGGTGTTCCAGGTGGGCCCGGGGGCTGGCTAGAGGCACCCCGCCTGACACCACCCCTTTGTCCACAGGGCACCATGAAACGCCACTCCTCGCGATGAGTACCTGTTCAGGGGTCTCTTTTTTAAATATGTT